GATGTGTTGTTGGGATAAGAACTGCTGTTCTGAGGATTTTGGCATCTATGTTCATGAGGGATATTGGCCTGTAATTCTCTTTCATTGTGTTGTCTTTACCTGGTTTTGGTATTAGGGTGATGCTGGCTTCAAAGAATGAGCTTGGAAGTGTTCCTTCCTCTTGGATTTTTTGTAGTAGTCTGAGGAGGATAAGTTTTAGTTCTTCCTTGAATGTTTGGTAAAACTCCCCTGTGAAGCCGTCTGGCCCTGGGCTTTTGTTTGCCGGAAGGTTTTTGATGACTGCTTCCATTTCTTCCATAGTTATTGGCCTGTTGAGATTTTTAGATTCTTCCTGATTGAGTTTTGGAATGTTGTATTTTTCTAGGAATATGTCCATTTCCTCCAGGTTGTCTAGTTTGTTGGAGTAGAGTTGTCCATAGTATTTTTTAACAATCATTTGTATTTCTGTGGGATCTGTTGTTATTTCACCTCTATCATTTCTGATTTTGTTTATTTGGGTCCTCTCTCTTTGCAAAATCTTAGCAAATCGGATCCAGCAGTACATCAGAAAGACCACACACCACGACCAAGTAGGATTTATCCCAGGGATGCAAGGATGGTACAATATCCGCAAATCAATAAACGTGATACATCACATAAACAAATTGAAAGAAAAAAATCCCATAGTCATATCAATTGATGCAGAAAAAGCGTTTGACAAAATTCAACACCCATTTTTGATAAAAACTCTCAGCAAGGTGGGAATTGAAGGATCATACCTCAACATAATAAAATCCATATATGACAAACCCACAGCCAACATCATACTTAATGGACAACAACTAACACCATTTCCCCTAAGAACAGGAACAAGACAGGGATGCCCACTCTCACCACTCCTGTTTGACATAGTACTGGAAGTATTAGCCATTGCAATTAGACAAGAAGAAGAAATAACAGGCATCCAAATTGGAAAAGAAGAAGTAAAACTGTCCTTATTTGCAGATGACAGGATATTATACTTAAAAAACCCTAAAGACTCCATCAAAAAACTATTAGACTTAATAAAAGAATTTGGCAATGTAGCAGGATACAAAATTAACGCCAAGAAACCTATGGCATTTCTATACACCAATAGTGAACTTGCAGAAAGAGAGACTAAAAAAGCAATCCCATTTACCATCGCACCAAAAAAATTAAGCTACCTAGGAATAAACTTAACTAAAGAGGTAAAAGACCTCTACTCAGAAAACTACAGGACGTTGAAAAAAGAGATAGAGGAAGACATAAACAGATGGAAGAACATACCATGTTCTTGGATTGGTAGAATCAACATCATTAAAATGTCCATACTGCCCAAAGCAATCTATAAATTCAATGCACTTCCCATTAAAATACCAATGGCATATTTCACAGACCTAGAACGAACTCTCCAAAAATTCATCTGGAATAAAAAACGACCCCGAATAGCTGCAGCGATCCTGAGAAAGAACAAAGTAGGTGGGATCTCAATACCAGATATCAAGCTGTATTACAAAGCCACTGTTCTCAAAACTGCCTGGTACTGGCACAAGAACAGACATATAGATCAATGGAATAGAATAGAGAGCCCAGAAATCAGCCCCAACCAATACACTCAATTAATATTTGACAAAGGAGGCAAGAACATACAATGGAGTCAAGATAGTCTTTTCAATAAATGGTGTTGGGAAAATTGGACAGATATATGCAAGAAAATGAAACTAGACCACCAACTTACACCATACACAAAAATAAACTCAAAACGGATAAAGGACTTAAATATACGACGGGAAACCATAAAAATACTAGAAGAATCCAAAGGCAACAAAATCTCAGACATATGCCGAAGCAATTTCTTCACCGATACAGATCCTAGGGCATTGGAAACTAAAGAGAAAATAAACAAATGGGACTACATCAAAATAAAAAGTTTCTGCACAGCAAAAGAAACCATCAACAAAACAACAAGAAAGCCCACTACATGGGAGAACATATTTGCCAATGCTATCACTGATAAGGGTTTAACCTCCAACATTTATAGGGAACTCATACAACTCAACAAAAGGAAGATAAACAATCCAATCAAAAAATGGGCAAAGGACCTAAATAGACACCTTTTAAAAGAGGACATTCAGAAAGCCAACAGACATATGAAAACATGCTCAAAGTCACTAATCATTCGAGAGATGCAAATCAAAACAACAATGAGGTACCATCTCACACCTGTCAGAATGGCTATCATCAACAAATCAACAAACGACAAGTGCTGGAGAGGATGTGGAGAAAAAGGAACATTTGTGCAATGCTGGTGGGAATGCAGACTGGTGCAGCCACTATGGAAGACAGTATGGCGTTTCCTCAAAAAACTACAAATGGAACTCCCATTTGACCCTGTGATCCCACTTCTAGGAATATATCCCAAGAAACCAGAAACACCAATCAGAAAGGATATATGCACCCCTAGGTTCATAGCAGCACAATTCACCATAGCTAAGATCTGGAAACAGCCTAAGTGCCCATCTGTAGATGAATGGATTAGAAAACTGTGGTACATCTACACGATGGAATACTATGCTGCTGTAAAAAAGAAGGAACTCTTACCATTTGCAACAGCATGGATGGAACTGGAGAGCATTATGCTAAGTGAAATAAGCCAGTCAATGAAGGAAAAATACCACATGATCTCACTCATTTATGGATAATAAAGACCATTATAAACTTATGAACAAAAATAGATACAGAGGCAGAGCTGCCTCGAACAGACTGTCAAACTACAGCAGGAAGGCCGGGGAGGGTGGGGGGGCAGGGAGGGGGGTAAGAGATCAACCGAAGGACTTGTATGCATGCATATAAGCATAACCAATGTACACAAGACACTGGGGGGTAGGGGAGGCCAGGGGATTGTCAAGGGTGGGGGAAAAAATAAAGGAGACATATGTAATACTCTTTGTAATACTTTAAGCAATAAAAAAAAAGAAAAAGAACTGCTGTTCTGAGATGGAGTCCGTTTCCCCCCATTTGTGAACAATGATCAAATAGTTAATGTTTGAGTTTAGCTAATGCAGACAGAAATGCTTTGCCTCATAAGGACCCTGTAATTTGAAATGCTCTCATCTCTAATGCTCTTTGTTACTATATAAAAGTTTGATTCAGTACTAAATTGACAGGAACATCACTGTAAGTAGTTCAGTTCCCAATAATATACTATGATCAAAATGGGAAGGAGAAGATACATCTGATTCTGATGGAGAGACTTCTCAATGTCAAAAGTCTGCATATGTAAATGGCACAGTGGATTGCTTGCTGACTCACTCTGGTGTCCAGAATGAGTAAAGGGCTAGGAAATGAACTCTAAATCCCTACAAGTGTCATTCATAAAGAAGCCAACTCAATGAATCTTCCTCACCTTCCTAGGACTAAAATAATCATGTCAGGCAATGGAAGCCTTAGTCATGACATTTCAGACTCTGAGATGACAACCTCAAGGTCTGGAAAGAATGATCCATACTCTGTTACTATCAAATCAGATTTCCCAACTAAGAACAATGAACCATCTGCTTTTGGAAGAGTCTTTCTTCTTCACAGGCAAATCTGGCAGGTGTCAGCTTACCTTCAGAAAGCCAGCATTCTTAAAGTATATCCATTTCACATAAAATAATAAAATACCAAAAGAGAATAAAGACTAACAGCATTATGTGTGAAGTACATGGGAGTGACTTCACATTAAGAGAGAAGAAATTGATGCTTAAAGCAGGAATCATTTTGTTGTTGTTGTTGACAGTATTACAGATGTCCCTCCTTTTCTCTCCCTTTGCCTCCCTCCACCCTAAAGCTGGAATCTTGACCACAAAGGCCTACAGGTGCCAGGAAGGTAACATAAATCTATAAGGTTGGTTGGGTTAGATACTTAAGGAATGATAAAGATTAGCAAACTTCAATTGTAACAAGACAAGATGTTTAATTTTCCAAAAGAAGCCAGGTATCTGATTCTCTGTGAAGTTTCCAGACTGTTCAGCAATGTTGGTGATTAATTCAATTTTCGAAAAGAAAATGTTTACAGGTTAAAAAAATTATAGTCTAAAATGTATCCTATGGGCCACTAATTTGCAAGCTCTGCTCTAACTGTAATTTTAAATAACGCAGTAATAAACAGAAAGCTTCTCACATAATAATAATCACACTAAATCACCGAACCTTGGTTTCTGCCCTACGACGAGGGACCAGTCCATGCAAGGGGAGGGTAGGAGTGGGGGAATACCTGGGGAGCATTTCCCAGATTACAGACGTCTGAACTGTCTCCACCACCACCATCAGCCCTGCAGCCCAGAAAAAATAAGAATCTGAGTAGAGGATACACAGCTTCCAAAAGCTCCTCAGGAGCTGTGGGGCACACGCTCCCAGAAAGCTTTGTACAACTGGGAGGGATGCATCCCAACTGTAGAGACTGAAGTCACTGAGCCTTAGATGTTAAACAGCATATGTGACGTGGCTCTGAAAATAGTAACTGCTAACATCAAAGGAGCCTAGAGTACCCATAGTCAGTGCTGCTGGTATCAAATTCGTTCTTTCAGTCTCACGGGCAAAAAGAAAACAAGCAACTGTCTACCTGTTCACTGTGGAAGATTATAAAAATAGACGCATTTTAAGCATCCGTGTATGCAAGCCGTGGGCTTGTGTGCATCTACATATATAACTAAAGCATTCTTAGGTGTGTAGGTTCATTCTTCAAGAAGGGGAGGAGAGCGTCTGATTTCCACATGCTGCCACAGTGCAGGTAGAAAATGGTTAACAAATCCTTGGGTGTGTTTTTCTACTTCCTTGCCTTGAAAAAATTACAGCAGAATTTTTTAATAAGATGGCTAAGCCTAACCAGGATTACTATGTTTTTTAGTTCTGATCTACCTGTGATTAGGTAATGTTTTGCTAATCTCTTGCTGTTATTAAACAATGCCTAGTCTAAACCCCGCTTTTGATTTTAAGCTGGAGCCCTCCTAACTCACCTTGTAAATGGAATCCGTCTTCTAGGTTGGCTTTCAGGTCAAAGCTGCTCCAAGTGGCTTATCCTCAGATGCCTGCAGCCTTCTCCTGGGAACTCTATTGACCCTGCTGGGCTTATCTGGTAAATTGCAGAAGTGGCTCCTTCATTTCCTTCTCTTGTTGTATTGCAGTGAGGGGCAAGAGCTGAAAAAGAGAGAATACAGTCACGTAGTGCATCTCCACAGAACTTTCATGGGTCTCTCAGGGGGACTTGCCTATGGCCAATCAGAAACTTCCTTCCAATTTATCTTCTGAGGAAGGAGGGTATCTCAGCTTTTTGCCTCCTTTGCTCAATCTTATGTAATTTCAAAGACATACCCATTGCTACCCATAGCATTCCTCAGCAATAAGCAACATACATCATTTACCTCTTACTCAGAGTTTGGAGTAAGAAAATGCTCGATTTATATACCAATGCACTCTAAGCAGGGCCAAGTATCTCTTCCAGAAATATACTTAACCCTCCAATTCAATATAAACCTGTTTTTAAAAACAAGAAGTATGAAGTGGTTTCATCACACATGCACATCCATGTTCAATACCAGTGCCTTGACAAAGACCCACGAATAGCCAATAAGTCCTAACAGAGTAGAACTGTCACCAAACTCCTAGAACAGTCCTGTAGCAGAAAGCTAATTATACTATCAAAGAACAGCTTTCAACTTCACATAGTTTCTCAGAAGGCAAGGAAACAATATTTTATGAGAAGATCAAATAGGCTCACTTCAAGGAAAAAAAGGAAATGGGTGGGAGGAGATCAACCAAAGACCTTGTATGCTTACATGCATGACCCATGGACACAGACAATAGGGTGATGAAGGCCTGGGGCGGTGGCTGGGGTGGGGCTAGAAGGGGACAATGGGGGGTGGGGCGGGGGGGGGAGGATATATATGTAATACTTTCAACAGTAAAGATTTTTAAAAAGGAGAAGAAAAACCTGAGGAGCAATCCAGAGTGGAAGCTAACTCGGTTCCTCTCTGGTCCTGAAATGTGACCGCAGTTTTTCCTTCGAGCCTCTCTAGCAGGTGCATTTCTTCACAAGGCAGCTTTAAAAATAACAACCTCAGTCTGATTATTTTTCTGGCTTACTCTAACTGTCTGATTTTTTCTCTTTTTACTTATGGAGAAGGAAAAAGTAACTATACACACATATCCTGAAAGATTATGACTCAATAAAAGTGCAAGATTCATGTCCACCCAACATCCTCTGCTGTGAATGTTCCTTTAAGCACCATTTTTCTGCCAAAAAAAGAAAGAAAATGTTTGATCTAAACCCCCTCCACCTCTACAAAAAATAAATAAATAAAATTTTAATCTCTACTATGTTGTAAGGCAAGTCCATGTGTCTTGTGGGTCCTAAATAAAATTTAACTGATGACTATGATGATGACATAGAAGAACTAAGGTTAGGGTCCATCAAGATTATTTTTGTATGCTCAGCATTAGATCTGTTTATTTTCTGCAAACGCTATTCAATCTATGCTCTTTAATCCCATGTAATTATAGGCAGAACAAATATGAGTGGTCAACTACTAAAACTCCCCTATCCATCTTTTTCCTTGCTCTTTCCTATAATGCATTCTGCCAGGTTTTGGAAAAGGAGAGAATACTAAAACAGGAAAATAAAAGAAAAATGAGGTAAAGAGCCCCCTGTGCTAAACTGCATTTCAGTTTTCCTACCTCCACCTCATTCCTCTTTCCTAGTCGTATTCTCCATGACTTCTTACCATCGTACATTGACAAGTGAGAAGGTAAAGAGAATAGAAAACTACAGGGTAAGATGAAGGCTACCTTTCCACCTCTATTTCCCCCAGTCCAGGAGCAGAGCTGAGGGAGAAGGCAGGATGAATACAGCCAGCCGTACCTAAGGAATTCCCCCTTCTCCCCATCACACACTCTGCGAGTCCTGTCTCCAGCCTCTGTAAACCAGACATTGGCCCAAGAAGCAGTTCCCCACTTCAGTCATCCTTTCCCGTAGTCTTTGCCTACACATCCCTGAAAATCCAGCTCAAATCCACAACTCTCAGCTCCTCCCTTGATCTTCCCAGCTAGAAAGGGACATCTTCTCATGGCATCTGGCACTTTGGTCAATTCTACTGGTGTAAGGTGATCCTGGTTGTGCGTGTTGCCTATACTTCTCGTCTCCCCTACCGGACTGTGTGGACTCTGGGAACCAGACCTTACTTCCCTGCACAGAGTAAGTGTGAGAGTTAAAATGTGAAATTTACAAGGCTTTGACTTATGCCCACTTTGCAAGAAATGAATCTATTATTGTCCATTTTGCCAAAAGTGTGCATTTTCACACTGTGTATGCAATGCCAAGGAATAAGGGCTTTGGCTTGTTCTGAAACTACAATTAACATTCATATGGACCTTCTGTGCAACTTTCAAAAAGACAAGCACAATAAAGTGGAGTGCCTTCGATAGCCTTCAGGGAGGCTGACTAGTCTGTATAAAAAATCACCAGTCCATCAATATACAGTTCAGATATAATCAATCATCCCTGATAGTGACTGAAGGCAGAAATATTAGGAGTATTTGTTTTAATTCAGCTTGAAACACTTGAATAGGGCAGAAACATTTATATTATCACATTTGAATTCCAAATTTCCAGGTGACTAATATATTGTTTTATTTAAAAAACAGGACATTAACCAAATGGCAAATAACCTTTACTTCAATTAAGAAACTGTACAGGGTCTTGTTTTACCGTGCACACAAACTGCGTGTGGGCAGAAGTCCAAAGGTACTAAGCTTATAAAGTTCAAGTTTGATTACACATTGTGACAACACACACTGAAGATAAATTCTTAAAGCTCTCACTAGGAAATAAACTCCGAGAAGGGAAGAGGTTGTTTCCTTTTTAAACTATAGCCAAAATTGATATTCAAACAAAAATTATACCTGGTTTTCATCAACACACACAAAAAGAATCATGTTCTAATTTAACAATATCTTTTACAGATCAAAAAGGCCCCCGGCATCCTCCTTCTAAGCTATTAATAGACTGAAAGTTGGAAAGGTTGATTCGAACAAAGTCTTCTATGCCAACAAGTACTCCGATAGGAATATCTGTAAAATCTCACTAGGAAGTTTAGAGATCTGGCAAGGGCTCCTTCTGAATGGCTCATTCAGGAAGCAAATGATCCATTATCTTTGCAATAGAATTTTTCCTGTAAGTCCTGTGACTCACCCTCCCACAGCCTGAATTTTGCCCATTATACACCAGATTCTTGTCCAGCATACTCCCCACACATTCCACTCATTTCTTATTCAAGCCCCTCAGAACACAAGATGTATGTGTCCTGCGTAGCTACTAAGTTAGTGCATAGAATATAAAAAGGAGACAAGATAAAACAAACTTCATCATTCTGTAAAATACTAAAGAAAGATTCTTAAAATGGTGAAGTCAGTAAAGACAGCCAGGATAACCAGAGAGCAATTTTACAAAGTTGGCAGTGCACATAGCAAAGTCCATGTCACAATACAAACAAGAGACCAGACACTTTTGGCTCTTTTCTATTCATTATGTGGCCCATGACTTGGACTCAATGCTTATTTCCATGAAGGACTGGTCTTAATTTAGGGTTAAACATCCTAAATTGCTTTCCCAGAAAACCATAACACAGGACATGCTATAAGACCCTTCTTCATCATCTTGTTTACTTTGCCCACTATACCCACTAAATACCTTGGTGAAAAGATCATTATTTTGCTTTTTTTTTTTTACTGGCAGCAATGTTTAGACAAACAATTGCTTTTTCTCTTTCTACCTGTGATATTGCCAAGTACTCTGAGAGTTTCTACAGTGTCTAAGTTGTTGGAGAATAGTTTTAGTGCTATAACCCAACAGTTACGGAAACGGGTTATGCTGGGGTAACGTACTGAAGATGAAAAACACAAATTCCAGGCACTTTCACCTGGCAACTACTGTGCTTTTCTTGTCAATAACTGAAGAGCAGACTTTAACTTGGAAATTTATCTAATCTCATTAGTGCTACCATACATCAAACAAGTTAAAATTCACTAGGTAAAGTAACATAGTTTTCATATATCTGCCATTAAGTATTGATTGATTTGTCCACTCCACAATAAGTCAGTTATTATATACAAACATTAAAGCCAGACACTAGAAAGACACAGAGATGTAACAATCAACAAAAACAAAGCTCTTCCTTTTGTTTTTGTTGACTGTTACATTTAGAATTTAGCCACAGATACTAGTAAAAATACACGAATAACCAGTTTAAGCTACAAAAGCAGAAAATGTGCTATGGATGTTCATGACATGAAAATAATTCTAGCTTAAAATCTGTGAAGTGGGTAGGAAGCAGATCAGAGGAAGTTGCTCAAAAGAATAGGCATTTGAGAAATGAGTAGATTCAAGTAAGAACTAGAAAAGCAGAAATGGATCGAGGAGATTTCAAACAGTGAGGAAAAATATATGAAAATCAAGAGATAGGAAAGTTAAATAAATGAGGCACGTGGCCCGCCGGCCATGAGTCCAACATGCTTGGTGTGTAGACTGTAGTGCCAGTATCCAGAGTCTAGGATACAAAAAAGGAGAGTGGGGGAAAGAAAGACAGAGATGAGGTTTGGAACTGTGTAGAAGATCTTACATGCTGGTGAGAGACCAGATTTCATTGGTTGGGCTGTAAAGTCATGTGGTTATGTTTCAGGAAGGCAGATCTAGAACAAATTGGAAGGAAAAGAACCTGGAGGCCAGAGAAGACCTCAGAAGACAGAAGCAGCTCAAAACGGAGGGCAGAGCAGCTGCCTGGGAGAGTGGGCACCCAAGAGGGGCAAGTGAGGATCTTCCATTTGACAGGGCAGACTGTGATCCTATCTGGTCTCGAATATTTCTTATCTTACCAAAATAATGGGAAATAAAGCACATCCATTATTCAGAAACATAGCTGAAGTAATATAAAGTATGGTCAACATGCTAATAAACTAAAATAATTTACTCAATACAAAACATAGTTTTCTCAATCTGTTATATTTCTATGATCCAGGCCAATTTTTCCTGATTTTGTTTGTTTGTTTATATTTGACTTGGTTCAACTTGACCTGTTTTTCTCTGCAGGTAGGGAAAATATTTTATTTCTCTAAATTCCAAAAGCTGAGCACAAAAAAAGGACATG